AGCTGGGAGAGAGAGCGGGCTATGGAGGAGGCAGCTGCACTTGGTCCGGCTCATGGTGGCAAAAATACTTACAAGCACAATAGAAAACATAGATTCATCAAAAGCAAACAACATAAAAAGACAGAACAAAAGGGCAGAGGGAACTGTGGTTGGTATGTAAAATGAAGGTAAAAAAAAAACTTTAAAATAAAAAAATAATAAAAAAATAAAAAGAACAGTCAGGAGGATCAGACAAACTCAGACATATAATGGCCATCTTTATTTATACACCAGATGCAGAAGGACAGAAGGACATCTCCTCTGTCCCAGAGACTGGGCCTATGATTGCATCTGATCCTCTCCTATGTCTCTACAAATGTCCAGACTCCAAATCAGAACAGAAAAACTCAGCAATCAGTCCAAGTTTCAGGTGCCCGTTGGCTTGCAGTTCTCACTTTCATTTTGTTCTCAAGGCAAATGTGGTGGAGGTGGCAGTCTGAGCTCCCTGGAGCCTGTCAAGTCCCCTTTGGACTTGCTCCCTCAGGAGCCTACTCCCTACTAACAACCTTTAATTTGTGGTAGCCATGATCTCCGCCCCCCCAAACGTACAAGTCCACTGGAGCCTATCCAGGTCTCGGATTCCCCAGGCTTTCAAATCTATCCCAGACTCCTAGCCCCGAGTCCTGGGGTCACCAAGTAATCTTCAAATGTTGTAGAATTTGTAACCCCTGTGAACAGACCACAGGCTCAACCCATTTATAATTAAAAGATTTATTAATTATTGCTGTCAGGACAACAACGTCTGAGTAAACTTGAGCTTGCCACGTGGAAGAAAGTGAAGGGAGGATTTTTAAAGGTGAAACCCGCAAGAGGAGCCTGAGCAGCCTCCCAAGGGAGCCAAGGCTATTCCCTGCCAAGATTAGGTAGTAGAGGCAACCTCAAAAAGATGTCTGAATAAGCAAGTTACAGAAGTCAGAGAGCAGTTAGTCATATCATAACAAGTAGATGGTCACGGCAGTACATTTTTGGGCAGGGAGGTCACTGAGTCAGGATTACCTGAAACTTATCTTCCAGGGCCTGGAGACAGAGACAAAAAGCTAGGGGGTAACAAGATGAATGCCTACCAATTAATGGAGTTTCTTTAGTAATCAAGCAAGATTGTTCTTTCAAGCTGTTTTAGCACAGTGCATTTAGGCCGAATATGAGCCACAGTGTGTGTGGCTGGAAAGTCGCTTCCGTGTGTTGTAGTCAGCAGGTCCACCCCCCCCCCAAGGTCCCTCCAGTGAAGGCGTTGGGCCCCAGGGTAACAGCCTGATGCCCCAGGCTTCAGAGCTCTTCTTCAGGACTTCTGTTGTCAGCCATGAACCGTATGGTGGGTTTCAGCAGGATCTCTTCACTAGAAGGAACATCATTCCCAAACGCCTGTCTGTAAATCAAAGTGTGTGTCACGTCAGAGTTGTATGGCTGCCGGGGGTTCTACTGTGGTTCATACCAGTTTCTTTTCTTCTTCTTTCTTTTTTCCCCAAGACAGGGTTTTTCTGTGTACCGCTGGCTGTCCTGGAACTAGCTTTTATAGCCCAAGCTGGTCTTGAACTCACAGAGGCCTGCCTCTGCCTCCCAAGTGCTGGGATTAAAGGCATGCACCACCACTGTGCCCGATCTCATACAAGTTTCTTCCAGCGGTGATTTTGGGCATTTTGCTGCTACAAGAGTGAAGGTGCCTACAAAGAACTGGTTTATAGTATTTGAAAGATTCTGCATCCTGGGTCTTATGGTGAGAGCTGTTTGTGCTCTGTTAGTGAAAACTCTCAGACAGCAACTCGAGAGAGGCATTGACTGAGAAACTGTTAAGGGTAAGGAGTTTGCTAGGAGAGTTACTAACCCCATAGACAGACAGACAGCAGTGTGACTGGGTTGCTGACAGGAGCAAATCAAGACCTCCATGGCAGAGGCGGTGGTCTCTAATACCTTTCTGAGGATGGGGCAGGTTTCATGGCACAAGAATTCAGCCAGGATCTGATTCCCAAGCAGGAGGCTGGGAAGCGGGTGGAGAGCAGGGTGTGAGGTTTGATGTCTGTTGTGCCTGAGTCCTAGGACCCCCAAGAAGAGCGCCATGGAGCCACACTTCCGAATGCAAAAGCAAGGTTTCGTGTATTAAGTACGGGCTAGCGCTGGTCCTCTGCCTCACGGTCTGACACAGCAGATAGAGGGAGAAGGACCCCTTCTACTCTTGTAAGGGGTTTATAAAGACAAAACCACAAAGCAGTCACAAGGTTACAGCCTCAAGATACAAAATTACATACCCTATATCATAATTGGCTGAAGGTTAGGTAAATCTTAGCTGTTGGTTCCTGATAGGCTATTATTATCTAAGGGGGCTAGCAACAGCCTCACATACACACACACACCGCCCGCAGGTTACATCCTCCAGACATCTGCTGACCCTTTGCTAACGGCAGAGGCTGTTTGAAGTATTACCCAGCTGATAGGGGAAGGTGGGTGGTCAACATTCTCTGTAGGTGGGGGAATGGGCTACAGTCAGCAACTTTGTATAACTTAGGTTTTTCCATTAGCTAATACTTCCCCTAAAGAGGGATCCCGCAGCCTTCAGCTTATCCTGGGGGCTGGGGTGTCAGCCTTCAGCTTTTCCTGGGGATGGGGTATAATTCAAGGTCCCAAAAGGGCCCAGCACAGAAATGGAATCTTTTCCAGCCTTTCAACGTCAACTCACTTCAGAGGGTGAAACACTCAAGCCCTGGGAAATCTGGTAGCTAGAGACTCAGTGTCTCAGTTGGGCACCTGCCAATGTCTGCGAGAAGCCGCTGTAGGTGCTGCGGCCTGAGCAGCGTCTGCGGTCCAGCATTACATGGTGACAGTGAGTGATGCTTCGAACCACTCTCTTGTGTTTTCTCGCCATAGTGAAAGCTTTGCTCATCACATGGAAGTGAGTGAGAACCGCCATCTTGTGACAGTTCCTGGGGAAAACTGAACAAATAAATATCTGCTCATCCCAGACCAGGCACCCACGGCAGCCTGGAGACGCGATTCCACCCAAGTCAGTCAGTTTATTGGGGTTACCAGAACATAGGTGAGAGGTTACTGGCAGAATGCTTCAGTGGCTACACTGCCGAAAAGCCCCACCTAGCACAGGTCAGAGGTCATGAAAGCTGAATCCATGGAGTTGCTTGGCGGCCCCATTGATTGAAGACACCCATTTCCCCAAAATTGTTATTCCTTATATAACTTTGTAGAGAGGGACCTTACTTCTTAGCCTGTGAGCATCCCAGGAAGGGACATGTCCATTCTGTGGAAGTAACCACCTCACAACCGGTAACTGCCCTCCAGCAGAACCTCCCTCCCAAGCTCTCGGGTGAAAGCAAGTCTGTCATCCAGCAGCGGCCGCGTTCCTGGGCAGTTTTACCCTGAGCGCTTTACTGTCTCTCTAGAGCTCATTCTGGTCTGTTTGGAGCAACACACTAAAAGTGACTGTGTGTTCATGCTAAAGGGGAGATAAGGCCTAAGGGGAGAGTCAAATAATTACACGTTGAACTAGCCAAGCCGCCTGCGTTCAGCTTGTTTCTTTGTGTAGACACTGGGATTTGATGTGGAGAGGGAAGGCTGTGGTGTAGGGGGGCCTCCGTGGTTGTGGAAGCAGGTTTTGACACTTCTGATGTTGTGAGTGAGATTTGAGGAAAAAAAAGTGTGTGTGCATGTATGTGCAGCAACGTGTTTGTGTGTGTGTGTGTGTGTGTGTGTGTGTGTGTGTGTGAGCGTGTGTAGAAGTCAGAGGTCGATATCTTATGTCTTCCTCTATTACTCCCCACATTATTTTCAGAGACAAGGTCTCTCACAGAACCTGCATGTTGCTGACCTGGGCTCCTGGGATCCACCTATGTCCACTCACCTCCTTCAGGCATGTACCGCCACACCTGGCCTTTTACATAGCTGCTAAATGTTCAAACTCAGGTCCTCGTGCTTGTACAGTGGCATTTGGCTTTTTGAGTCATCTCCCCAGGCCCTGAAACTTTATTCTTAAAAAGCCATTATTAGGGATGGGAGAGGGATCTCAGAGATTGGTAGTATATACAGTATACACAGTATTAGGGATGGGAAAGGGATCTCAGAGGTTGGTAGTATGTACAGTATACACAGTATTAGGGATGGGAAAGGGATCTCAGAGGTTGGTAATATGTACAGTATACACAGTATTAGGGAGGGGAGAGGGATCTCAGAGGTTGGTAGTATGTACAGTATACACAGTATTAGGGAGGAGAGAGGGATCTCAGAGGTTGGTAGTATGTACAGTATACACAGTATTAGGGAGGAGAGAGGGATCTCAGAGGTTGGTAGTATGTACAGTTCTTGTTGAGGACATAAGTTCTGCTCCCAGCACCTACACTAGGATCTCAACTGCCTCTCAACTCCAGTTGAAGGGAGTTGTCCTCCCTGGGCATCCCTTATACAAACAGTCTCTCTCTCTCTCTCTCTCTCTCTCTCTCTCTCTCTCTCACACACACACACACACACACACACACACACACACACACATGCATACTTAAAAATAAAATAAATCTTCTTTTCAAATCCATTATTGATAGGTGGTAGTGGCGCATACCTTTAATCCCAGCACTCGGGAGGCAGAGACAGGTAGATCTCCGTGAGTTCAAGGCCTACTTAGTACACAGGGCAAGTTCCAGGACAGCCAGGGTAAGGGCTACACAGAGAAAGCCTGTCTAAAAAAAATCCAATATTAAAAACATTTGGGGGTGCCAGGAAGTGACGGCACAGTCTTTTAACCCCAGCACTCGCGTGGGAGAGGCAGGTGGATCTCTGTGAGCTCCAAGAAAGGCTCAAAAGCTACACAGAGAAACCCTGTCTCAAAGAACCAATAAAAAAGTAAATAAAAATATTTGGGGGAACACAGGAATATGTGGAGGAAGGAAGGGGTGGGAGTGATATAAATATAGCAGTCATGTAGGAAGTTCTCAAAAATTAAAAAGAACAAAAACCAATACATATAGTTAGATAGTGTACTCTTTTTATTTATTTATCGTAGAGATTAACACTACATGTATGTTACATGCAATACACATTATATGTGTATGGTGAATATATAACATGTACATATATTTCTGTATCTGTGTATAGAGAGGCATGTATATAGAACAAGCAAGGAGAAAATCTACATCTATGTTCTAGGATATAGAGAGAATTTACACCCTGTTGTCCCGGTCGGGCCCACAGTGAGTCACAGTCTGCATGTCATTTTCCTCTGTGCTGGAGCCAAACACATACAGCCTTAGCAGCAACAGCCGTATGATTTTAGACGAGCAAGCTCACTTTCTCACAGTGGACATACTGTAACAGAATCTATGCTACAAACTTGACGTCAACAATGATTTCTGAGCATCATCCGGATGACAAACAGAACTTGAGTAATTCCTTTGCAAACCCTCCCTGTGAGTCTATCGAATTATGTAACAAAGGAATAAGAGGGCGGAAGGTGAGGCCTGGCAGAGCTGTGCTCACCCTCAACCCAATCCCACCACCACTGAGACGTCCTAGTCCAGCCCATCCTTACCCCAGCATATAAAGTGACTCATTTTTACAAAGTTCTTTGTAAAACTCCCTTTTCCATTTAAGTGACTCATTTTTACAAAGTTCTTGTGCCAGCAAGATGATATAGTTAATGCATTTTTCTCAAATAATACAATTACATTTTCTTTCTGTCTCAAAACAGACTTTGTTTAAACAATTCCTTTCTGGGTATCAAAACCCATGTGCTAGGCAAGCACTGTATTACTGAGCCACACCCAACCTTCTTCCCAGTGTTAACCAATAAAACTCCAATATACCCCTTTGCTATCACTGTACCTGTGAAGTTAATATTGAATGTCAAATTGGTAGGATCTAGAATAACTACGGAATTTCCATGAGGGAGTTTCTAAACTTGGCTCACTGTGGTTGGAAGACCCACTCTGAATGTGGATGGTATCGTTCTATGGACTGAGGCCTTGGGCAGAATGAAAATAAGAACACGAGCCAAGGAGCAGTATGCATCTCTCTCTCTCTCTCTCTCTCTCTCTCTCTCTCTCTCTCTCTCTCTCCTGCCTGACTGTGGACACAATATGACCAGCTGCCCTATGCTATTGTGATGTCTTTCCTCTATGATGGGCTGTACTGTCAAACTACGAAGCAAAAATAACCCCTTCCTGACACAAGTGGCACGGAAGCAGGCGTGCTGGGATGTGACCTTGGTAATGGCTGGAAGGAAGAAAGTATTTAGTGTTCTGAAAAGAAAGAAGTGGAGGGCACAGGGCTGACAGTGTTATGCCCAGATCACAGGGTCCCCCAAACCACCAAAGAGTCCGCACTCATATGCAAAAGCAAAGAGCCTTTATTCAGGCTTGAGCTGGGACCCCCCACCCATCCGACAACACAGGGAGGTCAGAGAGTCGTAAAAACCCTGGGTGGGGTGGGGTTTGGGTGGGGTTCTTATCATAGCAGAGGTTGAGGTGAGGGGATTCCTGATTGGCTGACATTTGTCTACGGGTGTCTTAGTGAAAGGGGATGGGTGTGTGCTGGGCTAAGGGACACCTGATGATGTTGGAATCTACATCTACAATGGTTGAAACATTAGGCTTTTTTTTTTTTTTTCCCTTGGACGGTCCATTTCTGGATGGTGCCTGAATGGTCTTTGTTTGTGATCTTTCCTGAAACCAGGCACTGCTTTAGGGTAAACTGAAACTCGGGCCTATTGTTTGAATGACTGGGCTGGGCCCTACAAGAGCACTCTGACATCCATTGAGAGGGGGACTGAGAACAGGGGGGGGGTATGTAAAGCACACAGAGAAGCATCTGTCTTAAATAAACACAAACACACACAACTGAGCAAAACAGGAAAGCTCCGTGAGGAAGGGAGGAGGGTCTATGTGTTTGCATAGGGGTTTGACCTCTAGAGTTAGGGGTGGATGAAGAAGTCAGATCCAACAGGAGACTGTGGGTGTCCTGAGTGTGAGGGGCCATGACATCCTTGACACCACTGGGGTAGTGTGGGGGACCTAGAAGTCTTCCAGTCAGCGCTTTGTGAATCCCATGACCAGTGGTACAGAGTTAAATCCCCTCTCCTTACACATTGGAGGAGAGGTCAGAGAACAGGCCTCTACTAGCCATTTTTTCAGACAGTGGACAGAAACAAGCTCTTCCTCATTCCCGAAAGGATGCTCCACCTCCCACGAGAGGGAAGAAAAGAGAGGGGAAAGACAGAAACAAAAATTAAGAGGCCTCTAAGAGAAACTATATCAGTCATTGGTGTTAAGGTGACCAAGTGTCAAATGTGACATTTTGTGCAATTAGAAAAAGGAAATGTCTCCTATATTGGTTCCCAGAAAGTTCAGTTAATTTAAAATTAAACAAATGGTAAAAAGCAAAACCCATGGCGCTGTTTCCTGAGGGGGGACACCCATCAAGAAAGTCGGCCTATTAATCTCAAGGAACTTGAAACCCTACCGGCAATTAAGTTCAACTGGGGGTAGATGTCAGGTAGAAAGCTGGGGAGAGAAGCTCAGTTAGCTGGCCCTTCCTCAGAAAGGATAGTGTCCTTCAAGATTTTATTCACAATTTTCTTGGTTTTCTCAGCAGCTTCATCAAGTACACATGCCTGTTGCATATGTGTTAAGCTAAAATAGCAACAGGCAACGTACAACTTGTGCGGCAGAGACAGTATCCAACCATCTTGTTGGTCCTGGGACTGCATGCCATCTGTGAAATAAGTATCTGACTGACTCATAATCCGAGCCACCCGGCGGAGAGATTTGTTATCCACACCAAAGTGTTCTTGGAAGACTTTCTGACACTCTGCCAGACTATTTGGATCCGAGATTTCGAAACGTTCCTGTAAATTATCCTCCTTTATGATCCCTTTAATGAATTCCACTTTCTTACTAATAATCTCCTTACAGATTTGGAAAAGGGTTCCTAAGAGACTATCGTACATGATTATAGTGAGGTCTCTTCTCAGTGTGTCTCTAAGTTTCTGGAAGCCATCAAAAGAAGGACTAACGTTGGATACTAGGAATATGGGGGGCTCCTCCACCCCCTCCTTCTGGAGGTTTTCCTGGATGTTTTTATGGATGTTCTCCCGTAGCTGAGGTTCTGGGAGGCCACCTATGCTGAGGTCCCTGTCCAGCTTTGTCCAAACGACATAGAACCTCCTTCTCATGCTCTGCATGGCTTTGGCCAGCTTCACGTGATTCGAACTGAACTGCTCAGAAGCGATGATGATGATCAGGTCATATTTGTCGAAGCCCATCTCTTCCAGGTAGTCCTCCATGCTCTGGGATGTGACCCCTGTGCCAGGCAGGTCCCACAGGTCCACATTGGGAAACTTGGAGGAGGAGTATAGGACTGGTTTCTGGGTGGTCCTCACCACCCCAATGGGAGCTGAATCCTCCTCCTCATGTCCAATCTCCCTAAGAGCATTGATGAAGGATGACATGCCATTGCCGGAGTCCCCAGTTACAGCAATTTTCACTGTGGGTCTTGGTGGGTTTTGTTTGATCTGCTTGACTATAGAGATGAATTCTACCCAATTCCCTTTATCCACAGCAATCTCGAAATTCTTGACATCTTCTTTAGATAAATTACAGTGGTCTTTGGAAATAACTACAGGATTGGAGAAGCATGTACCTTGTTTATCCTCAGGGGACCCAACTGCCTCTTCCATGTTGGTGAACAATGGAGCAAGCAACCTGCAGATACATTTGGAAGGGAGTTAAGGATGGCTGTGAATACAGGTACCCACAGGAAACAGTGTTCTTCGTCCAGGCTTTCACACCCACAGAGAATCCTACACCACGACCTGCTGACTACAGACAGAGCAGGCTGCGCCCTCTTGTGCACGAGCACATTTCTTGGAGCGCGAGGATAGCTCTGTAGCTGTTACTGCAACACTGAACCCCAAAAGCTAAGCCCTGGAATGCCAGGCAGTTCTCTTACTGGGTACAAATGTCCATACTCACCCCTTTCCAGTTGCCAGGACTACCGGAGACGTGTATTCAGAGCAGGGAACAGCCTATGCCAGCTCCCTGCCTGCAGGACCCACAAGTCTTCATTCCACTCATCCTACATCCGTGGCTGTTTGTTGCTGTTGCACTTGGGAAAGTGCTTTTCCTTTCCCCAGTGGTGGTCAGCGGTAGAGGTATAACCAATGCACTGCTACACACCAGGCTCAACAGCAAAGCCTCATGGTCTCCAGATAATCTCATCCGGGGCTGGAGAGACGGCTCAGTGGTTAAGAGCACTGGCTGTTCTTGCAGAGGGCCTGGGCTTGGTTCCCACACCCACATGGTGGCTCACAACTACCTGTAACTCTGAGTCCAGGGATTCCATAGCCCTCTTCTTGACTCCAAGAGTACCCGGATGCACATGTGCCCATGCAGACACTCCGGCACACATACACATAAAATTCAATATTTAAAAAATATATAAAAATTCCACCAATTTTAAGTGAGAATATGGGTTGGCTGTTACCACTGCTGCTATTTTCATTAACCGAGATTGAAATTCTTCTGTGAACAGGCTTTAATGTTTTTATTAGCATATATATTTTGTGTTTGCTTTTGTTTGGAGTCAGGGTTTCTCCGTGTAGCCCTAGCTGACCTGGAACAACTTCTGTAAACCAGGCCGGCTTCACACTCAGAGATCTTCCTGCCTCTGCCTTGCTGGGATTAAAGGTGTGCGCCACCACACTCGGCATTTTTGGTATAGATTAGTCCTATACACAGGGTATTATTATGGCATTTGCATACACAGACACCGTGTGTTTTTGTTATATCTCCTCCACCTGTGAACCTTTCGAGCCTTCCTCCTGGTCCCAGCGATGTCTCTCCTCTTCCCAGACTGTTCCACTTCTACCCCCATAGTTGGTTTACAGATATCTGTGGGTGTTTTTCCCCTGTGGCCCAGTGAGTTTCCTTTGACTGTTTACAAAGCAGGAGTGAGAACTGGCTTACAGCAGCACATGCATCTTCTCAGTGGCTGCAGGCCTGAAGAAAACTTCCCTCCTTCCTTCACCACCCACTTACTGTTTCCAAATCCTCAGGGAGGACTATGGTCTCACCATATCCTCCCCTTTCTATGAGTAGATGTCAAAGGGCCCAGTTGTATGGTGATCTTTTACAGTAACCACGGCTGCAATAGGTTCAAAAGTGTAACAGGCACGCCGTGTCCAGAAGTCAGCATTCTACACACACACACACACACACACATACACACACACACACACACACACACACACACACATCCTACAGGTTTGTTTGTTTGTTTGTTTTGGAAAGACACAGGGTTTTTCTGTGTGTGCAGTTTTGGAGCCTGTCCTGAAATTCGCTCTGTAGACCAGGCTGGCCTCGAACTCACAGAGATCCTCCTGCCTCTGCCTGCCGAGTGCTGGGACTAAAGGCGTGTGCCACCATTGCCCAGCTACTTCCTACGGTTTTTTCATGCTTCTCATGTCTCCTAAGATTCCTTGAGTCACGGGCGAGGGCTGATAGAGAGATACTGATGTCCCACTTTGATGAGCCATTCAATCATATTTCTGTTCCTGACTAAGTCCTTACCATGACACTTGAAGTATTTTGTGGGGCAGGACTGGGAAGGATAACTTTTCAACATCAAGGATGCAGGGTGTGGGGGTTGGAGAGACGACTCAGGTTAAGAGCCCTTACTGCTCTTCCATAGGACCTGACTTCAATTCCCAGCATCCATATCAGGTGACTAACAACCTCCTGTAACTCCAGCTCCAGAGGCTCTGGCGCCCTCTTTGGGTCTCTTGGGGCACTGCACAAATGTGCCTATACTCTACAGACACATATGCATATAATTTACAACAATAAGAAACTGTGCATTGTGGTACACACCTTTAATCCCAGCATAAGGAGACAGAGGCAAGAGAATAGCTGTGGCTTCCAGGTCAAACAGTGAGGTCTACATAGTGAGACACTTTCTTAAAAGAATAATAATAATAACTAGTTTTTTTTAAATGGAGGATGTGGAATGCATAAACCCATACACACATACACAGGTAAGCACTAGAGTGTTGGCCTCTGGAGTGGACGCTGGGACATATCAGTGTGCGGACAGGACTCCAACCACTTCTCGGGACCACACCAAATCTCAAGACACAAGACAGCAGCATACACCTTATCCCATGGTTCTTAGCTGAAAGCCCTCGCTGAGTCAGGCATGTACAATTCCACAGTTATGAGTGATTGACGTGGCTCTTACCCTTGAAGTCTTATTTTCTTGCTTGTGTGTATGAAACTAAAAGCATTTGAAACTCAACGGCACATATGAGAAATTTCCTGTCAGTCTCATGTACTTCCTCTGTCCTTTAAGGAGCTCTCTACCAGCCAGATGATGGTGGTGGCAGAGCACGCCTTTAATCCCAGGACTCTGGAGGCAGAGACAGGCGGGTCTCTGAGAATTCAGGCCAGCCTGGTCTATAGAGTAAGTTTCAGGGTAGCCAGGATTGCAAAAAGAAACCCTGAATTGAGAAAGGAAGGAAGGAAGGAAGGAAGGAAGGAAGGAAGGAAGGAAGGAAGGAAGGAAGGAAGGAAGGAAGGAAGAGGTCCCTGTCAGACTTGCTCATGGGTCCTGTGAAAGGGGTAGGCTGACACCTCTCCTGAGTCTCCAAAGCATCTGGCTTGGTGAATTGTGGACAACTTCCTAGGTCCCTAGTTTTCTGCAGATTACTAGATTAGTTACTTTTCTCACTCCTGTGACACAATATCAGCAGGAGTCCTAGAGAGGCTACCAGCTGCAGAAACCATGGCTCAGACCCTGACAAGGCATTGCCAAGAGCCAGCCCATCAGAGTTCAACCTGGAGTTCAAATGGCCCAGGCTTCCCTATTTGAGGGTACAGCTCAATTTATACCTCTAGTGTCTCTGGTTTGCCCCTGGGCACATGGCTCAGACAAAGGTTCAGGGGGATGAGGAACAGGTCCTCCTAACTCACACCCCTGCGGCCACACCTTCCCTGCCCTGCTGGGCTGTATCCTCTCTGACCAGGAGCCAAAACAAGTCCTTCTCCCTTAACCCGCCTTCTGTCAGGAATTTTGACACAGCCGAGGATGATGACGAAGGCTGTCCTCATCCACGTGTGAAAATGCCATCACGCAACCTGCTATTTTACAGAGCATATTTCCGTTGTTGCATTTATTTATTTCTGTGTATTGTAGGTGTGCCAGACGCACACGTAAGTTAGAGGACCTGTGCGGCCAACAGTTCTCTCCTTCTCCCATGTGGGTAATTGAGATCAAGCTCAGGTAGCGTTCACTTTTACCCATTCAGCCCCCTCACTAGCCCACTATTTATAGACTAATAAAAAGTGTACATTTAAAATGTAAATCACTGGCTACTAAAGCCTGTGCTGGTATAAAACTCACTGTGTAACTTTGAACTGAATCTTCTGCCCCTCGTCCCAAGTGCTATGACCAGGAGTGGGAGACACCTCACCCAGCTAAGTTATACAAACACTGAAAAATCACTATATGAAAAAATTGCCCAGACAGGACTGTGTGTACTTCCTTCTGCATCCAGTGACCTTGAGCCTCCATCAAATCCTCAGGAAAGGTGGAGAGGGCCAATGGATTCATCAAACAACAGCTAACCAAGCTCTCCATTGAACTCAGGTTATCTTGGCCCTCCCTTCTCCCCATTGCTCTTACTCACCCAGTCCTGAGCCCTTTGGAGCTGCTTTATGGCAGGCCCTTTCCTCTTAACCATGACCTCCCAGTCCAAACTCCTCCACTGGCAGGGTACCTACCCTACCTCTCCCTTTTAGGGTCCATTCTCCATTCACATACTGACAGTTGTCTCCCTGCCCCCACACCAGTGGACCTCAATGCCCTTAAATCTGTCCCGCTCTCCCCAGGGGACAGAGTACTCCTCAAACAGTTAACTCCTAGGTCTCTCGAACTTCGATGGACAGGACCTCACATGGTAATCCTCACCACTCCTTTGACTGACAAGCTCTTGGGACACCCATGCTGGTACCATCTCTCCAGGCTCAGGTGAACACCTACTCAGGACACTTGGTCTGTCCAGCAGTTAGGACCTTTCACCCTCCAGTTTTCCAGGATGCCACATTGAAGGGCCTACCTGCTCCTCAGCCTGGCACTCACCTTTGATGGTAACAATATTTTTTCCAAGACACCTGCCTTCTCATCTCCCCCAAGAAACAGATACCTGGCGTCTCCAGGATGACAGTACATGGGATGCCTTTCCAGCCACACAACTCACTGAGCATGGACCCAACAACACCTAGCTTTCCCCTTCCCCACATCACCCTATACCCGCAGGAAATATCCAGACCTGAGTCAACGCCCGTTTTTTCTAGAGAGCCTAAATTGTTGGTCACAATTATCACTTCAATTTCCTCTCATCCCTATATCCAAAGAGTCAGGAATGTTAAGTTGGGGGCGTAGACCCCCAGTCTCTCACATCTATCCTAGCCCCCAGGCCTGTGAGTTTTATTGGTCTGGACTCCAAATCCCAGCATGCCAGGTCCTGACCCCTGGAGGGGGCAGGGCTTAGGACCACTCCCACAGGGTATTTAAGTGAGCTTCCAGAAGAGGAACCCATGGGCCCCTTTCCTTTCCTCCTGGTGGTCATGTTAGCGGCCTCCCAGGTCTCCCTTGGGGCCACCTGAGAGCACAGAAATCTCATTAAACCTGGATATTTTTAATTTGGCTTGTTGTGATTTGGCTTGATTGGAATTTTTGCATCAGCAGAGAGCTCATGTTAGGAAAAACTCCTAACAAACGAGGCTTCTAGGGCTGTGGGAGCCAGCCTACACTAGCTATATGGTTCTGAACTGCAAAGAACTTGTATAAACACAGATCCTATTGGACTTCAACCCCCACTTTGTTCTTCCTGCCTTCACTAGTAGGGAACACAGGGAATTTCTAGGTGCTGTGTATAGCAGGAGCGTGTGATCCACTCCAAGGATGATGGGAACAGCGTTGGACCCAGCATACAAGCTCTGAGAAGGTGGTATTACTTAAAGTGCCCAACAATATGGACACTCTAAAGCTCCATGAAGGACTAAGCTTGTGCCTGTGCGGTCAGTTTCTCCAATGCAGATGAAATACTTGATCTCCTTTTGTTGTTGCTGTTGTTGTTTTTACCCTGTTTTGAGGGATTTTTTTGGTAGTTTGTTTTTGTTTTGCTTGTCCTAAAAGAGCCAGTGAAATAGATTACTTAGCAAGTAAACATGCTTCCCACGAAGCCAACAAACAAGCATTACCCTGAGATCGATTGTAGAAAAACTCAGCTCCACAAATTGTCCCCTGACCTTCACAAGCAAACAGACACAGACACACACAGACGGCCACTAAATAAATGATTCTTAAAATATTGAACTGAGCTATACAAAACAAGAATTTACTTAGAACCTTACTGCTCCAAGTCTCAATCTCCGTGTGCTCTGAATAAGAACCAATCCTGGGACAAGCCCATCGTGGCATTGGGAAGTTCTGATCCAGGACTCAGCCAGAGGCTGAGAGACTGAGCAAAACCCCACCGGCTTTCTCTAAACTAGGTCCCTTCAGAAGACCCAAAGCCAGGGATAGGCAGATAAAAAAGGGCTGGTGGGTTGGAAGGACTCGACTCAGCCAAAACACTAGGATCCCTGTGGTCCTGAAGACAGTCAGGGCAGGTGCCTGCTGCACAGGATCCCTGAGAGGATCGCCAGACCCCAGCAGCCTGCCCTGAGCAGTTTATAGCCCAGGCTGTGCTTAGGAGTCTCTCACCTACCTGCTCAGAAGCCTTAGAAAACTGGAATCCAGCCCAAGATGTTCAGGAGGAAGACAGTCCAGCTGTGGAGGGCCGTGGTCCTCCTGGAAAGAGCAAGTAGAGGAACTGGAGCAACTGAAGGGCAGCCTGAGCTCCTGGGTTTCCTCTCAGACCTGCTCCACTGGGGACCTTGCTCCAGTTCCTCACTTGTAGGCACGAGCCCTGCCTGCCTTCCAAGAGGGGAGGGCCCCCTGCCAGAGCAGCTTCAGTTTCGATTCCTGGAAATGGCTGGTTTGCAGGATTCAGCTGGACAGACGCCACAGTCTCCTTCAGAGAGGGAGGAGTTCTGTCAGAAGGCCAGACTTGGGGGTGGGAATTCTGCCCAGGAACAGTGACATCCAAACTGCAGTCAGAGCCTCCTGGTGTGGCCCCGTGCCCCATTCCTAGAGCTCCCTCCTGCTCTGCTGATGCAGTCAACCTCTTCACACCCAGTGAGAGAACTGCAGACACTTCTCAACACTGCTCACAGCTGCTGTCCCTGCTCACTGTGCGTCTCTCAGCTTAGCTCACAAAGGAAGTAGAGTTCAAAGCCATCTATGACTACATTTGTTTGGAAGCCAGCCTGGGATACAAGAGACCCTCTGTTCATACACTACACACACACACACACACACACTCACCTCTACTTGGGGTTGGAGGTAGCTGGAGAAATGGCTCAGCAGTAAGAGAACTTATTTCTCTTCTAGAGAACTATCTTCTCACCATCTTCACAGCGCTGTATCAGGCAGCGCACACCTGCCTGTAACTCCAGATGGCATCAGAAGTCACCCACACACCATGGCATACACAGACACGGATATATGTGCCTAAGGAAAAAGCTCTTTTAAAAATTCTATGTAGGGCATTTGTAACCAGGAGACGGGGCAGGAAAATAATGACAGCAGGGTGACACAAAACAAAACAGAAAGATTATAGTTTGTTCCCTCTTACTTTTCTGAGAAACTGCAACTGTCAATAAGGAGTTAGGAAATTCTGTGTGGCCAAACAGCTGAGGGACAAGGTTAGGAAGGGACAAAGTCAACATAGGCTGATAATGTGCTTTAATATTGGACAATTGTGAAGGGGGGCCGGGAATCCTCTTGGGGAAATGCAGCACTCTTTGCAGCACCCTTTGCAGGTTGCAGGTGAGGACCTGGGCTGTGGGGTGGAGGTGTTTCATGTACCCCGTGGTCAGAGTGAAATGTCCTCCAAGACCACCACACTTGTCCTCAAGCAGGGGCATTAAGCATGTAACTACTGACTGAATGTGGTGGTACATGCCTTTAATCCCAGCCCTTGGGAGACAGAGGCAGATGGATCTTGTTTATTTCAAGGCCAGCCTGGTCTATATAGTGAGTTCCAAGACAGCCAGGGCTACAGTGTGAGCCCCTGTCTCAGATGACAAACAAAATACAATGCAATTACCCCAAGCACACTTCTCCTTGCAGATAAGCACTTTGTCCTGGAGAGAGCCCTGGGGAGTTGGGGGTGGGGCCCAGTTGGCAGTTGCTCTCCCTGTCATGCACAAAGCCCAGGGTTCCATCCTTGGTACTGCATAAACCTGGGCATGGTGGGCACAATGACACAAATTTGTAATCCTACACTTGAGAGGTGGAGGCAGGAGGATCAGAAATTCAAAGACATCATTGCCTGTTTCCCAGGATGTGTGAAACCCTGCCTCATAACAGCAGCAGCAACAAGAGGAACAGGAACTTCTGAGTACTTCCTGCTGAAGAACATATCAAGCACAGCCTAGCTGAGGACACGTGTGTGACGCACCCCTTGACCAGCAAGCAGAAGCGACCACGAAATCGAGAATCCTTCCCAAATCACAACTTTATTGGAGCACTCGGTTGAAGGGGGAATGGGGGACGAGAGAGGGAAGAAGCAGGAGAAGGCGAGAGGGAAAAAGTGAGAGAAAGCGAAAGGCCCAGAGGCAGCTGCTTTTAAAGGGTGGAGGGACTCGGAAACTGTCCTGATTGGTGAATACCATTCTGCTGGTGCCCGGGGGTTCGGGATAGGCTAGGGAACCAAGGCTCAGTTGCGCATGTGCAGGCAAGGGCACTCAACCCCACGTGGCTATGCCAAATATGGACTTGTTTACCTCCAAGCTGTAGGATCACCTGCGCCATCTCGTAATGGCGATTTCTCCAGGTGGCTCCTTACAGACACGTGAAAGTAGAGCTGAAACCTATTTCCATCCTCTACGTCCTCCACAGTCAATTAGCCAGATGCTGACTATACTGGATGTTCGGGATCCCAGTGGAGCAAGGAGGCTTTCTCAGGCTGAGGTTTTAAGCACCAAAACTGTATCCTGGTTGACATACATCAGTTAATAAGAATAGTTAGCCTTGCTAAGTGTATGGCACACACCTTTAAATCACAGCACTCAGGAGGTATGAAAACAGACTCAAAAAAGAAATCCCACACTAGCTCAGAATTGAGTATAATAAATGGTTATTTATTTAGGGATAAACTCACAGATCACAGTCCTGTGCTAGAACGGGGAACAACAACCAAATCCAACAGCCGGAAGAGAGAGAGCGAGCGCGTGCTTTACATGGGCATTTATAGTATAAGAAGCCATGTCCACAATGGCGGGTAACTTAAAGGCTACTGGCTGAAGGATTTCCTACAGCACCTCCCACTTTGTTTATAAAAGAGAATTCTAAGCCTAATACAAAAATTATATACCATAAGAACAAATATCAAGTATGAAAATTAGAATTACAACCAGCATAAACAATATCAAGCAAGAAACGTGATAAATGTTTCAGTAATTATCCTATCCTAAGGAGTCTACATCTTGTATTATAAATAACTTGGCCAAGTTATGAGAGGAAAGTAACTACAACTATCTAGTCTTCAACCACATTGATTCCTGAGAAGGGAAATAATATTACTTGAGTAAGCAGGAAGTGCAATCAAGCAACTTCCAAAATGTGCAACAAATGACAGAGGCAACTGGTTAGCTGGGCAGTGACCCAAAGTCTCATTTGCAATGTTGGAGCAACCAACTTTGGATAAGGTCTAGAGTAACTGACAGACCATTTTCAGAGGCACAAAATTTTTCAAAACCGTCTTACCCTGTCTTGGCAAGTTTTGACAGTCTCTTTTCTTGTATCCTGCTTGTCCTGTCTGGAAATCATGCATTTTATCAGTGGTCGATGCATGGACAGTTCCTTGCCCAAAGGCCAGTTTTGCCAAGAAAAATACAAGCTCCAAGTGGAGTGTCTTCAGTGTTCAACATTCTCTCAGGAATAGATCGGTGCTGCCAAGAGTAATTGTCTCACATCAACAGAACCCTAAGTTATTTAAATGCCATATTCTACAGCTCTTTGAAGTGGTTGAAGATTACCTATCTATGTGGAATACAATCTCTATGTATCTAAAGAACCTGATTAGCTGAGAAACTGCCACACTGATTTCCAAAGTGGCTGCACAAGTTTCCATTCCCACCAACAATGGATGAGTGTTCCCCTTACTCCACATCCTCTCCAGCATAGGCTATCATTGGTGGTTTTGATTTTAGCTATTCTGACAGATGTAAGATGGTATCTCAAAGTTGTTTTGATTTGCATTTCCTTGATCGCTAAGGAGGTTGAGCATGACCTTAAGTGTCTTTTGGCCATTTGAACTTCTTCTGTTGAGAATTCTCTTGGGAATATATCCAAGAGATGTCCTATCATACTACAAAAGCATTTGTTCAACTATGTTCATAACAGCACTATCTGTAATAGCCTGAACCTGGAAACAACCTAGGTGTCCGTCAATAGAAGAATGGTTAAAGAAGGTGTGGAACATATACACATTGGAGTTTTACTCAGCGGTAAAAAACGATGACATCTTGAATTTTGCATGCAAATGGATGGAAATAGAAAACGCTTTACTGAGTGAGGTAACCCAGACCCAAAAAGAGGAATATGGTGTGTACTCACTCATAAGTGGATTCTAGCCATAATTAAAGGACATTGAGCCTATAATTCGTGATCCTAGAGAAGCTAAATAAGAAGGTAAACCCAAAGAAAATCATATAGCTATCCTCCTGGATATTGGAAGTAGACAAGATTGCCAGGCAAAGTTTGGGTGCACGGGGTGTGGGGGGTGGATGTAAGGGGAGATGGGTAGAGAGAAGGGAGAAGGGGAGGATTCAGGAGAGCTTGGGGGAATGGGATGGGTGGGATGGAGGAAGGGTGGATATGGGAGCAGGGAAGTAAATATCTTAATTAAGGGAGCCATTTTAGGGTTTGCAAGAGACTTGACTCAAGAGGGGTTCCCAGGTCCAAGGAGAGGTCCCCAGATTGTTCCCTGGGCAGCAGAGGATAGGGTATCTGAACTGGCCTTGTCCCATAGCCACACTGATGAATATCTTGCATATGACCATAAAACCTTCATCTGACGATGGATGGAGATAGAGACAGAAACCCACATTGGAGCATTGGACTTAGCTCCCAAGGTCCAAATGAGGAGCAGAAGGAGGGAGAACATGAGCAAGGAAGTCAGGACCACAAGGGGTGCATCCACCCACTGAGACAGTGGGACTGATCTAATGGGAGCTCACCAAGTCCAGCTAGACTGGGAGTGATGGAACATGTGATCAAACTGTACACTCTGGATGTGGCTGGCAATGAAGGCTGACTGAGAAGCCAAGGACAATGACACTGGGTTTTGATTGTACTGCATGGACTGACAAAACTGACTGGTTTGTTTGGATGCTCACCTTTATAGACCTGAATGGAGCGGGGAGAAACTTGCACTTCCCACGGGGCAGGGAACCCTGACTGCTCTTAGGACTAGAGAGGAAGGGGGAGGTGGGGAGGGAGAGGGAAAAGGGAGGCAGGGAGGAGGTGGAAATTTTTAATAAATAAATAAATAAATAGGAAAAAAAGAACCTGATTAGCCTAACTATAAGTATGACAAACATGGATGACTATAGACCTATAATTCTTAATACCTATATAACTTATTATTCATATTAGAATATTAAACAATCTTTAAACAAATGTAAAACAAATGAGGACAATGACCTCAAAATGTAAACAGTGTATAAGTATCTTCTCAGAGGTAGAAATGCATATTGCAATATGACAAATACATCCTAAAATTGTATCAATATGCAAAATGTCTTAAGCAGAGGTAGAAGTATGCATGCATACAATGTGACAAAATAGCTTTGCCTAGGTATACAAATATTGTAGACAAAATAGGTACATATTCAATATAATTTAAAATTTTATCAATATACAAGAATCTATACCAATGTAAATTGTCTATAAATAATAGAACACATGTATTCACTCTATTAATCACTATTATTATTAGTGTGTGTGAACTCACACTAGTCTATTATCCCATCCAGTTTCCCTCTTTTTTTTCTTTTTTTATATTCAATTATTATATATACAGTGTTCTGTCTGCATGTATGCCT